GTAGGTGGTTCGATTCTAATTTTAAAAATACTTTAATAATAGAATAAAAGTTGTGTTTTTTTGTTCCATTATTAGAAAAAAAGAACACCTAACAGAGCATAAATTGTACGTGCCCCTGATTCATTTGCTTTTCTCTAATCAATAAATTGTATTTTTTTTAATTTTAATTACATAATTAGATGTAATTATTTTTCATCTCTTATTTCATTTTATTTGTATATTATGCCATTAAAACTCAAGATTTTTTATTTTCAGTAAAACAAAATAATTATTGAGTTATTTAAGTTATTGGTAATAAATTATAATTTTTGAGAAAAAGAAAAAAAAGAAATCAAACATTGTTGGTGGAAAAGGATCCATATTTTAGTGGCTTACCAGACACTCAAGAAAATGGTATATATCGCTTTGTATGGGAGTAATAGATTGTAGTTCTAGGATTTTTGATATTTTAAAATTAAAAAATTTATAAAATAAAATATATTTAATATTTATTTTAATTAATATTTAATACTTTATTATTTTTAGAATAAATTTTTTATTTAAAATTAAAAAGTAAAAAACAATTTTTATTTTATTTATTTAACTTTAAAAAATAAATAATTAAAATTGAGGAGTAATAGTAAAGTTAAAGTAAAAAAATAATACTTGTTTTTTTTAAAATAATAAATAATTATTATTTAAAATAAATTTTAAATAAAATTTTTTTTCTTATTCTTTAAAGTAAAAAATATATTTAAAAAAAAAAACAAAAAGAGCAATGGCAAACGGAGTTAAAGAAAATCAAAACGTGCCACTCTCGTGCTCGTCAAAGAAAAAAAAAAGCATTCAAAAGGCAGTTGCAAAAGTACAGCATAATTCCTCTGGGTGCAAATCCCAATAAAGTTCCTTAGAAATTTGAGAAAAAAAATCATCATGGTGGGTCCAAGCCCAAAGAGTCCAATTCGGAACGGCGTAATTCAATAATTTTTCTCAAAAATAAAATGCACTAAGAGTTTCTTCTCGGCAAATAAAATAAAATAAAATAATAATGTACATTAGTTCTCAACTTGATATTTTAAATAATTTATTTCATTTAATTAAAATTTAATTTAAAAGTTACAAATTTACTTTGTTAGACATTGATATTTGTACATAGAAATTAAAATTTTAATTAAAA